TCTCTGTTGTTGTGTTTGGCTTGCTCCAGAGAGGCTGAGAAGTGGAAACAGCGACAGGACACTCCCGCTGCTTTGGCCACGTCCACATATCTGGAAAATACACGCAGAGTGCTGCTTACACCGACACAGAAAAGTAAATGCAAGAATAACCGACATAAGTGGAACACTGGACTAAAATCTGCTGCTGTTGTCAATAACTAAGTGCATTTACTCAAGTACTGTACTTAAGTACAGTTTTGAGGTATCTGTACTTTACCCGAGTATTCTCACTTTCTGTTACTTCATACTTTGGCTTCACTACATTTTAGAAGCAAATACTGTACTTTTAGCTCCACTACATTTATTTTATAACTTTAGTTACCCAGTCACTTTTCAGAGCCAGATTAATACAAAAATTACAATGACAGTATAATCATAAGACTTTATTGGTCTCTGGTGGAAACTTCACAAGTTACCCAACAGTATGTAAAATACTTCAAACTGTAAGCATTAAATCTAGCTCCTCCTTTTCCAGCTGCAACACTGAAGTGATGAACACGATAATGAATCAGCAATTATAATTCAATAATATGGTGCACATTCATGTAAAATGTGCCAAGCTGCATAATAAGTACTTTTAGTACTTTAAGTAAGTTTTGATGTTAAAAACTTTGCACTTTTACTTAAGTAACTTTCTGAATGCAGGACCTTTACTTGCAAGAGTATTTTACACTTTTGTATTGCTACTTTTACTTAAGAAAGGGATCTGAGTACTTCCTCCACCACTGGCTGTGGCCTGTCAGACCTTTAAACAATTTGTTATTCTAAGCCACTGAGCTTACATGATTCCTGCCAGGTGATTTGCCTAAAAATAGTTTTGGGTTACAGTGTTATTCTTGCTACAGCGACACACCTACAAGATGTATTAACCATCAAACAAGTGACTTAAATCAGAGTTCAGGGTACACAGTAATTGACTGTCTCCATCCTGCCTGGAGATATACCCGTGTGTGTATAATTATCTTTTAATTTATGACTTTTATATATAGTTTTTGTTAACCTGTTTGCAAAAAGGTGTACACAGTCAGGTGTACTGACACACACACAGAAATGCATCTACACAGCACACACTGATACAACTGTGCTTTACCGTTTGCGAGACTCCGGGTCTGGATTGGTGTTGTCTACAGCGACGCTGCGGCCGTCCTTCAAAGCGCGCTCACATGCCGACACACAGTTCTGCCATGAACCGAGCGTGTCCTAATACAGAAATACACACAATAATTATTATTGTTATTATATTGGCAATTGTCATCATTGTTACAATATTGCAATGTTTAAAACTGTTACAATGTAACTGCCACAATTTTCAGTAATTAAAATGCACAAAGAAAGAAATGAATAAAATAAAAATAAGCATGCAGAAGTGGAAAGCTGCTGATTGAGTCCTGCTTGTAAAGATCTGCTCACCCTGTTCACGTAGACATAGCCTTTAGGAATAATGTGAGTGTGGAAGAAGGTGGATTTGCCTGCTGAAGAGAAAGGGAGGAGAAAGATCAGAATGGTGCTGTGGACACAGAGACCAGACAGGTGATACACTGTCCACTTTCACTTACCTGCAGGAAAACCCACAGCAACAATGACTTCTGCCTTGCTAGAGGTGAGAGAGGCGGACGGTGGGTCATAAAGCCTGGCACTGGAGTCAAGTTTTCTCTAAGAGATAAAATAAAAACACGGACCAAATCTACATATGTATTCTCATATGCTACAGGAAAAAAACTAGAGTTACCACTTCACGTTTATATGCCTCCATACCAGGGGTGGCCAATTCCAGTCCTCGAGGGCCGCTGTCCTGCTTGTTTTCCAACTATCCCTGCCTGACCTGCTGCTGATTACCTGGCTCAGGTGTGTTCAGCCAGTCAGAAGCTGGAAGATACCAAATCAGCAGCCCTCAAGGACTGGAATTGGCCACCCCTGCTCTATACCATCCAGTCATGTTGAAATTCACATGGATATCTGTCCAGACTCATATAAGTAGTGAAGACTAAAGAACTGAATAAACGATAGCGAGTGTATTTTCTTTAGCAAAATGGAAGTTGCCACTACACTGACTCAACTCAACTTTATTTATATAGCGCTTTACCACAGCACAGATGACCAAAGCACTAACATACCATACACATCTAAAATCATCACATAAAAAACTATAAACAATAAAACAAACTAACATTACAGACAGAGTCTCATTCCTGGCCAAATGCCAATGAATACAAGTAGGTCTTCAAATATGACTTAAAAATAGACAACGAGGGGGCCTGCCTAATATAAAGAGGCAAAGCACTCCACAGGTTTGGACCCACACAGAGAAGGCTCTATCCCCCCTAGTTTTATGCCTGGCCCTCGGTGCCTCCAGAAGAAGCTGATCAGCTGATCTAAGGCACTGCGACGGATTATACGGGTGCAAAAGTTCCACGAGATAGGATGGTGCCAGCCCATATGATTCTAATGAATAATTTCCAGTGCCGTCTTTAGAGACTGATTAAAGAAGACTGATGAAGACCTTTGTCACATCATCCTTGAATCCAAGTGGACAAACACCTATGTGGAGCTGCTGCCGCAGAGGCATAACAACACAGCACACAGCCAGTATGTCTGCCATACTCACAGGGTCAAACACGGGCAGGCTGTAGGGGGCGCACTTCCAGCCGAGAAAGTACTCCTCTGGGGTGTGGAACTGTACCCCAATGTTCAGAGCAAACTAGAGACCAGAAGGAAGACAATAACTAGTAAATACAATTGGGCACTTAAATTGGCACACAAAAATACCACAAGAACAAGATGGCAGGAGGTTAAAGGGGTGGTATACAGTTGTCAAAACAATTAACCACAGCAGTAATATTAGGTCTTACCAGTCGGTCACTGCAGGAGAAATCTTTCTTCTTCTTCCCTGGAGCCCAGTTCTCTGGCCTACCTGCAGCATCTGTGCACAGAGGTCAGTTAGAAGCTGTGTGCATGTTTTTCGCATGCTCTTCTACCCCTGCCTTTCTGGACATCAAACATTTTTAAATCACTAGCCACCAAACTTGAATGAGTTTTTGTTGCATATCTTCTGGTCCTTCTGGGTTTACAGTTCGAGTTAGTTTTAGTTTTAAGAGTCTGGATTTTCAGATTTCACGTATTTAGGAACTGATCAGGGTTCGGGTTCATTTGTGGGTTTCAGGAAAAAAAAGACCAAACCAAAAGTTTCAAAATGTAGATCAAAATAAAGTATACTAATACTGTGTGTCTGTGTGATATCAGAGCAGGTAAGTGAGGACATACAGTTGCCACCTGTAAGTCTGGAATATGTTTATCACACTCACTTACCTCCAACAAAAAGACTCTTTGTCTTGTCAATGGTCACGCCATCATTAGCCTGAGCAGGAAGCACACGTGCAGTTTAAATTATAAATAGGCTTTTTATTGTCAAACAAATGCTGTGAGGAACAACAAAAGGGCGGATCCTGTGACTCAGCCCAAATATTTGAATTCATACTTTGACTTGTCTGCCTCAGTGCAAACACTAAGGTGTGGTTCTAAAATGACATGGGTGTGTGTGGGTGTGTGTGTGTATCCATGCATCTCTGGTGACAACAACCTTCTCACACAGGTGATTCCACATTCCCAATACTGGTTTCCTGTAGCTACCAGGACCGGTTGCTACAAATACCTGAAACACAGTCAGGGAGGGGACACAAACATCAGATGAATATGTAACATCTAGAAGATGAGAGTCAGTTGACAACATGGCCCACCTGCACAGGTAGCTGCAGTGTGGCAAGAATGTCCTCCACTTTAGACTTGAAGACTTCTGGTCTCAATTTGCCTTTAGCGATCCCCAACTGGTTGGTGAAGAACACGACCTGCAGGAAGAGAGCAAGCATAGACTAGGAAATCCAGTGACAAACACCGTCAAGAGCACATAAAATTCACTAATACTGCACTGATTTTAATCTTGAACATTTACAAAATAATAAACACTGTTGTGTGTTGTTCCTTCCCACCTTGTATCCTTCCTTAAGCAAGCTGGCCAGCTTGGGCTGAATTTCAGGGTACAGAATCCTGGTAATTCAGCACAGGGACAATTACAACGAACCATTTGGAAATTGAAATTGAAATCATAAAAATAAGAGAAATATGGAAAGTCATTTTACATTTCAAAAACAATTCAAAATGGAAAGTTCAGGGGTGCAGACATACTTCCAGTCATCTGGTGTAGTAGGGAAAACTTTCCCAGACTTGGTGGTGATGATGCAGCCATCTATGTCAAACCCAGCAATCTGGAGGAGGAGAAGAGGAAATGTTCACACATTTTCACATAAGCTGCATGATATGTCCATCTTCACAATCTCTAACCAAAACTTGCAAAAGGCAAAGACGCTGCTGCTTGAGAGAGCAAAGAAATGATATATCACTGGTAATCAGCAGACAGTTGGTTTAGATATTTCACTTTCTGTGACTGGTTACAGATTATTTTATCAAATAACTGATTTTTATTGTTTGGTTTACACTTTATCAGAAAATAAACCCAACAGTATTTACACATTTTGTCACACAGGTTTCTGTATACTAAAGTCTTTTTTGTCCAAATAACAATATAAAGGCTAATGACATTCAGATTACAAAAGAGAAAATTATCATAATTAAAAAGCTGGAATAAATAATTCAGTTTTGCTACATAAATTACTTACTCAAGGTTTGGGTGCACTTTTTTTATGTAAAACACTGAGAATTGCAGCTTTTATCACTTATTGTGAAAGCAAGATGCTAAATTAAAGTGAAGACAAAAGTCTGGCCTTTGACAAAACTATGTAATTATATGAATTGCAAGAAAAGTTTAAATGAACGCACAGTTGAAACAGTTCCCACCTTCTCACTCCCTCTGATGCCAGCAGCAGTATAAAGCATCAGGTTGCCTATCTGCTGCCAGCTGCTCTTTAAACTGGCCTCTGATGACAGTGATGAAGATGAAGGCTGGGTGCTGTTACTCCTTTCTGCCATAGACTTCTGAGCCAGCTCCTGTAACTGCTTGAGTTTTTCCTCTGCCAGTCTCTCCTCCTCATCCTCCTTCTCTTCACTCTGTCCATCTGAGGTCTCCTCTCCCCTCTGACGCTTCAGCTGAGGGTGCGCTCCTCCTGGGCTCAGTCGTCTTTTAGATGACTAGACAAAAGAATATTAAAAAATACGCTGTCTCTTCTTTGCAGTTTAATCGCAAATAATAAATGTCATCTTTGTGGAAACATTACATGAATAACGGACTACACTGTATTCAGAGGTGTTGCTATTATTTTGACCCTCTCATGTATGTAGCTGTGGAGGATAAAAACATAGAAACACCTCCAGTACAACACCACCTTTAACTAGGACCTCAATAAAAATATGATTGAATTTATACATTTATGACAGTTTCACCAAAAATGGAAACAGTTTGAGCTTCATAAACACAGATGTTAAGGTGGAGGTGTTGCATTGAAGTGCATACAATTGTACAGGTGTACCTAATAAAGTGGCCGGTGAATGTACATAAAAACATTAAAATGCTAATTTAAACAACAGAAGCAGCAAATAAGATCATAAAATAATACACCAAACAGGTTTAAACTCAATGACCAAACAGGGCCAAATGTGTTACCTTCATGGGAGAGGTAGAAAAGAAATCCTTTAGAGTGCGTTTAGGTGTCGGACTCGACCGTGCCTCTAGTTCTTTCCCGTCCCTCCCACCTTTTGTCTTCTCTGTGGCTTTCAGTCTTTTCTTTGCAGCACTGGAGGCAGTTCCGCTGGGGCTCAGAGTGTAGTGCAGTTTAAATGGATGGCTCTGATTGACCAGGTAGAGGGTACCTCCATGGGCGAGTTTACCAGACTGACCCCGGCCCAACTTCTCACCACCCAGGAAACTGGGATTAGGACCTAACTGTAGTTGAAAATAGGACATGTATGGACATTGTATTGTCGACTTATACGGTTAGTTTATGGGTTGTAAAATAACAAGTGCAAGTCTTGAAAGCAAAGAGAAAAGTGTGCTGACACTGGGCTTTCAGACATAATGACATAACTGATGTTGTTTTGTTGCCTGGCAGTGATGTTTCTAACTTGAGATTTTCACAATAAAACTAACCAAGTTATAAGGTGTGACACAGGGCTGGATTGTTTGTTTTCATACCTGCGTAACAACCACATCCTGGTCTGCATAGCAAGCCACCACCTTCACTGAAGAAACAAAAGGATTATTAATATCACAAGCAAATGCTCTCTCTCCCCCTCAAACACACACACACATATATATGTGTATGTATGTGTAACACTGTAAAATCTAGACTTACTATGTAATGTGTCCTGAGATTACTGTTGTTGTGAATTGTCGCTATACAAATAAATTGAATGGAATGTATATTCATTTAGAGCTGAAATTACAGTTTGATGGTGAATCAACAAATTGATTATTATATTATTAATCATCAACAAGTTTGAAACCAGTTTTATTTAAACAATTTCACTGGGTCCATCTTCTCAAACATGAATATTTGCTGGTAAACTGGAGACATCTGGGCTTTGGACTGTTGGTTGGACAAGACAAGCAGTTTCAATATGTGGGCATTTGTAAATCAAGGGTAAGGGTAGGATACATAACAAACACTTTACCGCACACAACAGTTCAACAGCACCACAAACTACAGCCTTCAAACATATAATTGACTCTACAACTCTGTAGTGTATTTTATAGCTGCGATTTTTCTTTCAGTACTTTGCATGTCATGTAAACCAGTGGTTCACAGTATAATCAAAATTAGTTTCTTAAATAATTGTATATAATATAATTATCATTAAATTCCAACACTATTAATATAAAGAGGAATGGGTGTGCCTAAGGTTCATAGGTCGCCCAGGCTTCTGCTAAAAACACAGGAACAACCCGAGTAAGCAGAGCACACTGTGCCCGAAGTGAATGACCGTCGAATATCCAAATATGTTGAGATAAAGTAAGTTTACCGCAGTCGCCTATTTGCATTTTGTTCGACTCTTTCTCACCCTGATGCCTGGAACATTTTTTGTCGGTGACACCAGTCTCCGGACCCCGGCCTAGAATCACTGCTCGTCCGTCCTCCAGTGGAACACGAGTTCCGGAGACGCCAACCAGCGTACACGGCATTGGACTGAGCAACCACGGTTACGTTCTTTGGTTACGCTGCTTTATTCTCAGTCTAATGGTACAGTTGTGACCGACTCGTTTCACAGAATTATTAAGCAAAACATATAAAGTAATACAGTCACCATACACAGATGATTGTGAATATTTTTTCGTGTGTAACAACCAATTCTCAGTAACTGAATTGGTTGTTGCACTAATAGGTACAGTGATCGAAACGGACATACAGGTGCTGGTCATAAAATTAGAATATCATCAAAAAGTTGATTTATTTCACTAATTCCATTCAAAAAGTGAAACTTGTATATCACACTGAACAAGCTACTGTCAAAATGAAAATTCTACCTCAAATCAACTATCTGTTTACAATGCTTCCCACAACACCGACAGATAAATGGTTTAAATCACTTGATTCTATAACTTCACAATTTTATTAGAAAAACAAGAAACCCAAAATTTCCCTATCCACACTCCAAAAGAAGATATCACTAGGTTGTCTAGAAGCACCAAATTTCCAATATTACTACTTGGCAA